TAAAAGCATCACACCACAGCAATATATGCACACCCATGTTTATAGCAACATAGTTTGTAATAGCCCCATCTTGCAAATAGTCCAAATACCTATCAACTGGTGAATGCATATAGAGAGTGTGGTTTTTTTTTAATAGAGTGGAGTACTACACTGTACTCTGCCATAACAAAGCATAAACTTTAAAAAACAAATAAGCTTGAGGCATTTATAGGTGAATGGATGCACTTTGAGACCATACTCTTAAGTGAAGTAAATTAGACACACATGGGTAAATACTGCATTATTTCTCTGGTATGAGAAGCTAAGAATGTAAATCAGGAACAAATGTATAATAGTTCTGTGTAACACAGGAAGATGACACTCAAGTGGGGAGGTAACAAAGGTGGAAGGAAGAAAAGAGGTAAAAATATAAGAAAAATATAAATGAACGCAAAGCTTTTGTAAATAGGAAGTGGTTGAATGGAAGTCGGGAGAATTATAAAAAAAAAAATGTTGTACCATGTACAGGTACAAATTCTGTATGATGAATTGATCGTTATGTTGATAAAAATGTGCCAATAAAATCCGACTGGCAGAAAAAAATAAAATAAAAGTTCCATGTGTTTTGTTCTTAGATTTATTTTTTTAGGCCCTGACCAAAAAAAAAGTTTCCAGTAAGTCCGCCATGGTACTACTTCTTACCTACTACTTCCAATCACATAAAATCCTCAGTGTAATGTACCACTGAGCTAGTTTATGAAAAGAAAGGCTATCAAAGGCCTGTGGGAAAATATTTACAAATCGTATATTGACCAAAGAATTACAAAAGCACTCAGTATTCAATGGTAAGAAAATTCAACCCATTTCAACAATGGGAAGAAGATTTAAAAAGACAATTTACCAAGGAAGATACATTGGACTGCCAAATAACTCAGTAGATTAAAATGCCTACAAGCAGATGCAGGGGCCAGGGATTCTATTTCCCCCTTCCCTTCCTTCGGTGCTGGCCCCACCCCCGGGGCCTGCTGAGACTGGGTGTGGTGGTGCATGCCTGTAATCCCCGCACTTGGGAGGCTGTAAACAAGAGAATCACTATGAGTCCGAACTAGTAGTGAAACCTTGAGCACCCTGTAGACCCTTCCCTAAAATTAAAAAAAAGGTAGATACACAGAAGTCAAATGAAAAAATTGCTTACATTTATTCATCAATAAAATGCAAATTGGAAGCATAATAAGACGCCAACCTGCATCTATTAAAAGGAATAAAATTGAATATACTGTCTTTATGTATATGGAAAAATAACTTTGGTACTTAAAGAAAATCAATAAAAAGGATTAGAAGTCACATTAGATTAGATGCACTTCAGAATGTAGCTGTGGAGTGTTTCCAGAGAAGTTGGCATGAAGACCAGCAAATTTAGGTGAGAAGACCCTCTCAAAAGTGGGTAACATTGTGCAACAGGCTTATAGATAGGGTGGAATAAAATGGGAACAGGGAGGACCTTAGCACTTATTTCTAGAGTTCCATTCTTTTTGAGGGGTGCATCTTTTGGTGCCATTTCCTGTAAACATCAAACTTGAGTTTTTTCAGCCTAAAAGTAGACTCATCCAGTGACTCTCTGAAGAGCTGCCAGGCCTCTGTTCCTAGATTGGTGCTGTATTCTTAATCTTTCTAGTTTCACAGCTTCCATTTTCATGGACTAAGACACTGCTGGATGCCCTAAATCTTCAGTATGCAGATGGATGCTGTGGATTATCCTACCAATGATCTTGTAAACCTATAATAATTATAACCATCGTATATGTACTATACATATGCTATATATACTTATGATATATATTTTTTCTCTTCATCTAGGAATCCTAACCTACACAAAGATATAATATATAAAAATTTATTTATAAACTATAAGATATTATATATATATATATATATATATATATATATATTCATTTCATGTTGATTTTTCAGACATCTTATTGTTATGTAGTCCAGGCTGCTGGTTTTATAGAAATATACTACCACACACAGCCATAAGTTACATACCATAAATTACATGCAACTATTCACATATGAGATGTAAAACTAAATGACACAGGTAGGCAATTAAATTTAGTTTTCAAAATGAACATCCTTTAACAAATTGATATTTTAGTGATCAAGAGGGAAATATAACTGTCATAGCATTTCAAACCCCCTCTATAACTGTGGTGGCAAGCCTATGATATGTGTGCTGTTTATTTTTCTTTTAAGACAAAAGATGTTGATATATGGATTACTTTTTCTAAACCAAAACCTTAGTATTCAGATTTAATTGCAGTGCTGATACTTTACAATAAATAAGTGGGCTGAGGGTTGCAGTGTGGTTACGCATTGCTAAAAAGATGCCCTTACTGCTTTATAGATTTTTTTTAAGTTAGGGTGAAGAGCAAAGTCCCTGACCTAAATTTCAAGGCACCAGATGATTTGACTAGTGCTACCTCCAATGATACATCTGGCTCCCTTCTTCCTCTCTCCTTGCAGGCCAGACATACTTGTTATTTTTATATATTTTATAATTCAGGATCTCTGACTGTCTAGGCTCTCTGGTACTATGGCTCCATGGATGGCAAGTGTCCAGGAGCAGCATCTCCTTAGAAGAGAAGACTCCTGAACCCCACCCAGAACTAAACAAAATCCTTACTTTAACAGGACCTACCTGGTGACATATGTAAGCATTAAATTGTGATTTTCTTTATATGCTGCCTCTGGTATTTGCCTAGAAAGCATTTTCAACAGATTCCTACTTAAAGTGAGTGATCTAGGCCAGCCAGATGGCTCAGTGGACTAAAGCTCCTGCTCAGGCAGACAAAGGAACAGGGGTTCAATCCTCAGAGTGCCATTCCAGGCTCACACCCAGAGCATGCTAAAACAGCGAATGAGACTGGGCACAGTGGTGTGCCTTTTATTCCAGTGCTTGGGAGGCTGAAAATAGGAACATCACTAGGAGTCTGATCAATGTAGTGAGACCCTGTAGGTCCTCTACTAAAATACATAAAAATAAACAAATTAAAAAGTGAGTAATTTAAGTACTATGTATCTGGAGCTTGAGCTACTGTGAAGATAAGGACTTTATTTAAGACTGGCTCCTGACGGGAACTGTCTTTCTACTTAAATTATATCTTGATTTTTGTCAGATTATACAAATAAAAAGTGCACAAAGTATTCATTGTTTTTTATAAAGGTATACATAAAGCAACATATCTTATAAATAAAAATTTTCTTAAACACATGTGATGGAATTAGAGGCACAAGGTATAATTTCAATTGTTAAAACATGTATAGCAAATAAATGCTTATGATTTCAATGCTTCTAATGTTCTGTAGAACAGCCTGGACTTCTCAGGAACATTTAAATCATTCCCCAATATAGCAGCTTTACTGTGTCAAAAGACAACCTTTGATCTTCTCAGAGGAATTTCAGATCTCTACTCATTCCTCTTCCAATGAAAGCATACAGCTGTACAACTAGACAACCTTTATGATCAGATCAAAAATATATAAACATTATCTTTAGTTTGGGTAATTAAGCCTCTAAAATGAACCACTGTGCAAAAGATTTTCAGCTCTGTGTATCATCCACAGTCACTCATTTTTTGTATAATTCAGGTTCTATTTAAAGAATTGTGCAGAAAGTTTTAAGAGGTAGCCATGTTTTATTCTAATAAATCTCAAATTACGTCAGGGTAAGCAAATTCAGGATAAAATAGCATTCAACATGCAGATTGTGCATTTTAGTAACTGGACAGGGATATATTTTAATCAGTTTTTTATTAAGAAATATCTGACAATAATGCTAAAGAAGGGAATATCAGCAGGATGTAGAACATAAGCAGAGTTGTACAAGCACACAGGTGAGCACTGTTTAGGGTGAATGGTGCAGTGATATGAGTAGAAATGTCTACAGAGCTGCAGGTGGACCACACACTACTCATAAAGAGTTCTGAATGTGCTGGAGTAAGACGAGAATTTTTCAAGCATAACACAACATACAAATATTGATATTTTATCAACTTTTCTAGAAACCACCTGGAAAATATGACATAATAACAAATGAATATTGTTTATCTTTGATTGTATGCATTTTAAGCTCCTGCTTTTCTTTCTTTTTTTTCTGCTTTTCAACTATACGTTCAAATAAGCTTTCAATATTACTGCTTTCCTTATATGAATAGTTTCTTTTTCAATTCTAAGATAAGTAAGACCCTTTCTTCGTATGAACCATTTTTCTTCCTACATACTCTCCTCAAAGTAATTCTTCAGCCTTATTTTTGAGTTTTCTGAGTCAGTGAAATTTTATAGGTCAGCAAACAGCACATAGACACAGCTACTATGATTGTTAGACGGTATTCTAGAGAATGGGGGCTCACTGGTCCCTTCCCCACTCTCAGAGAAGCACAAAGAGCTCAAAGTGTCACCTCAAAGTGCCATATAACTGCACTATCATGTTGCTGGTTTTGCATTCAAAATACTGTTTATTTCTATATATGATAAATAAAATGAATTACTGTAAGAAGTGAAATTGGTCATTTCCCAATAATGTCAAATGAAAGCAATTGTGAAGGCTTGTCATATTCCAAGGATTTGTGTTCACTAAAACACTAACCTGTTGCCTCTAGCCAGGTAAATGTGATGTGTTTCCAAGATATGCAACTGTGGTATTATCAAAGTGATCATATTGAACTCTTTTTCAGTAGAACTACCTCACTTTAATAATTAAAGCCACAATGAAGAGCATATACACTAGTAAAATGCCTTTGTGTTCTGCTGTAATTATTCTGGCATGCCAAAGAACAATTGATAAATATTCTTTGTACAATTTTGAAATACATATGCAAATATAGTCTATTATTCTCATACTTTAGTTCATTAAAATTCTAGATTAATTATATTTGCAAATTGAACAGGAACAAATATACAGCCACATTAAACACGCACTATTTGTGACTTTAACAAGAAGATAACAGTCAGTAACATGAGATTTAAATATACCTCTTTAAGAATTTTCTTAGTGAATCTGTGACTTGCTTATTTCTCAGGCTGTAGATAATGGGATTTAACACAGGAATGATGACAGTATAAAACAGAGAGACCAGCATGTCTTGGTCATCTATCTGTGGAGATGCAGGGTGCACATACATAAAAAGTAGAGGCCCATAATATAAAGACACTGATAAGAGGTGGGCTCCACAGGTGGAGAAGGTTTTCCTTATGCTTTTGAGAGACCTCTTTCTTAAAACTGCAAAGAGAACAAATGTGTAAGAGACAAGAATAATCGCAATAGTAAATACCTGGATTGAACCAGAGAAAATAAAAACAATTAGATAATTAAGATAAGGATCTGTACAAGAAATCTTAAACAATGATATAATGTCACAGTAAAAGTGATGTATTATGTTGGAATTACAGAAAGTTAATCTGAATAAAAAACCTTCATGAATTAAAGCATGAAGAAGACCACTTATAAAAGACAGGGCTAACAGTCGTATGCATAGCTGGTTGGTCATTATCACTGGATAGAGTAAAGGATTGCAAATGGCTGCATAGCGATCATAAGCCATTGCTGCCAAGAGGAAACATTCTGTAGTTGCACTGATATTGAAAGAAAAGAATTGGACCATGCATTCAGAAAGAGAGATAATTTTATTCTTAGTGAAGAAGTTGACCAGCATCTTTGGAATCACTATGGATGATATAGATGTATCAACAAAGGCTAAACTCCCAAGGAAAAGGTACATGGGAACATGAAGATGAGGGTCTCGCCTAACAAGAGCTATCAACCCAAGATTCCCAACAACAGTGAGGAAGTATACCACCAGGAACACCAGGAACAGGGGGATTTTCCATCGTGGTGCAAGTATTAGTCCAGTGAGAACAAATTCTCTCAGCAATGTTGTATTTTCTTTTCCCATATTGTCATCAGATATTCCCTGAAATGAAATGCAGTGCATGTAAAAGAGCATTCATTATGCATTTATAAAGTGAAATTGGAGAATAGGTGAACTAAAACCACACATTTATTGGAATGCCTTTTCAATTTGCATAATAGATGGAAGCTATTTTAGAGATTGAAAAAGTATAGTAAACTCTATTTCAATTCAATATGGGCATAAATTAACAGATTTAAAGGATAAAAGAGGTTTTGGGCTGGAGAGACAGTTCAGCAGTCTAAGCAAACTGGCAAGCACAAGAATCTGAGCTGAATTCTCAGTAATAAACCTGGAGCTTGCCTTGCTGGCCCGAACGTGGATGTGGCAGTGCATGCCTGTAATTCTATGACTAGGGATGCTAAAACAGAAGGATTAGTATGAGTCCAAGCTGTGTACCAAGACCCTGTACCAATAAATAGATAAATAAATAAATAATTTTTAAACAAATGGAGAGGTTTTATTAGTATGTACTAAATTTGTGGCTGCAGTGTTACTACATTAGGATAATCTTGGGTCTGGGTAGGGTTATGGAACCAGGGAAAAATATTTAGAGACCTGGATAATAAAATGAATTGAATGTCTTAACAATGATATCAGTCAAATGAACTACAATGAAAAGTCTTTACTCTTTTAAAACTTAAATTGGGAAATTATATTGGAGAGACAAAAAACTGGGGTCAGCATTAGTAGTCAGAAATCTAATATTATTATTTAGAAGTTCCCAAACCAGATTATGTATCAGAATTGTCTGGGAATATTTGTGCAAAAAGAACTGAGAGACCAACTCCTTTAAGATACCAATAGGCAATATGCACTATACCAATCATTGTTAATTTCCTATCACCTTGTTTTGAAATTCTATATTGTTTTTTATTCTCTCTCTCTCTCTCTCTCTCTCTCTCTCTCTCTCTCCCTCTCTCTCTCTCTCTCTCTCTCATTAAATTCCATATTCTATTTAAATAAAAATTTTATTTAAAAAATACATATTGTGACTTAGTTGCATCCGAAGTGATTAGATCACATTTGATATACCATTGGGAGCAACAAGGAGAACAAATAGAAAAGGAATTCAAATACAGAATCATTTGTTTGCTGTGACATATGCCATGAAGAGGAATGGTCATTGAAAGAAATAATTTGGTGACTGCGTCAATGGTCATTACAAATTGAGATTGAGAATTTAAATGCATTAGCAAAGCTGTGAGAAGTCCATCATCTGGACATGGAGATGACATGCACTAGTAGGACACCCCTGCTCAAGCTTAACAATAGTAAAAATGCATCAGTCATTGGGATAGTTGAAGTTAGATCTGTGGATAACCTACACAAAGTAAAGAACTTACACAAAGTAAAGAAAATGAGAGCAAGGATAATACTATAAGCACTGTTATTAAAGAAGTTATTAAGGGGATAAATTTCATTTATGATATGGCCAATTTTGATCCTACTTCGACAACATAGACAGTGTTAAGAGGAAGGTAGGACCCACTGTAGAGGCCAGAGAACTGGAAAGTCTCTATTCCATCACCCTCGCACATACAGTGAATTGACTTCATTTTGGTTTATCTAGTTTCACCTACCATACATTTGGCTTGGACTATGAAGAAAAGGAAACAAAGGTCAAAAATACTGGAAGTAATTTTAATGACTAGAGACCCAAGGCAGCAAGAAATATCAAGACTTCAGCACGCATCCTCCATGAGCAACAAAGGCACAGACAATGGGAGCCATGGTGTCTGAGGCTCAGCACTAGTTACAATTCTTCTTGAGGAGACTGTTTGGATATAATTTTAGGTACCTACTATCTTACTTCTTTCTGTTCTTGACAATTTTTCTAATCTGTCTTTAATACTCTGTTCTCTAGAATTTTCATGTCAAGCCAATTTCCATTTAATAAAATTTCTGTTGCAAGAGTGTAAGTTGGCTCCTGGGAGAATGGAAGGAAACACAAGAAAGTGATGCTGAGCAGAGTAAAATCGGAAAGTTGAGTTCTGTGACCCTTATGAAATAAAATATATTAAGGGTAACTAAGTAGATTGCAGTGGTAAAGTCCAAGATAAATGCTTTAGAAAGAAAAAGAGTGGATAGAGATTACTGGGTGCTTAAATTAATAAAATTTAATTGGCTTGGGGAAATTTATCATATAGTTTCCCCTATATGATAAAAGTCAGAAAATAGGAAATGAATGGGAAATAAATGGATCCACAGTGAAGGAATGATACAGAATTTTTTTAAGCTAATGTGAAGGACCATTGACATTTTTCTATTGCTAATAGACTCCTTTAATATTCTTTCATGTAGAATATTTTATTAAAAGTCTTTAAACAAGTAGATAAGTGAGAAAAGAGGAGAGGAAAGCACTAAGAAGAAAAAAAAGAGCAGCAAAATAGAGAAATTTGGTTGGATGAAAAGTGAGATGAGAAATAAGCAAAGCAAAACAAAGCCATAGATTGACAAGTATAGGAAAGACAAATCAAAGGATAAGAAGAATCAGAGAAAGACTAACAACATAAGAATTGGAATCAAATGTTTGTCTGCTAAATACTGGTAGCCCTGTGAGTGTTTTCATTTTCCTTTCATTTAAATCAGAGTTTATTTTCTTATGCAGTATGTAAAATACACAGGGCTATGGCTTAAAATTTTACTTCATAAATATTATATTATTGATATATCGTTACTACCTGAAAATCTGAAAATTATGCATGCATATAAATATTACTTCACCTTAGTTAATATGGTACTGAATTTTGCTACAAATCTTCGGGTAAGAGTTTCCTTCTTCACCAATTGCTTTTGTTGCATTTTGTCTCAGCAAAAGAAAATTAAACCAAAGGCTGAACCCAGTGTGTTGGCGACATAACACGATCTTGCCAACTGTAAAGTGAATGTTCCCAAGGAATAAGCTCCTTCCACATAATCAAAACAATCACAAGTGTTTCTGCATATTTTCTGTGTACATATATGTGTTTATATACCTATTTACACATAAATATAGCTACACATCAGTGTAATTAAAGAAATTCACTAGAAATTCTATAGATAGGTAGATGGATATAGATGATATAGATATAGATATAGATATAGATATAGATATAGATATAGATATAGATATAGATATATAGATACATATTACTCAAAAACTCGGTTTGAAAAGGATGGCAGTGTAACAGAGTTAACTTTTAAATTAATGGCCCTCTCAGTATAAGACACACAAAGTTAAGAATGTAATGATGTTTTCTAGAAATTTGATCCAGCTCTTCTGAATGCTGAATCCTCACATGTTACAGAAGAAATTCTGGAGCAAACCTACAGAAGCTTCTGCAGATGCTAGAGTGCAAGAATATGGTGAATTAGATGCTAAAGATTGCATTCCAGAAGCAGAGGTTCTGGAAGTTGAGAAAGAAGAGGAAGCTGAAAATGAAAATGGATGGGAAAGTACCAGTCTAAGTGAAGAGGAGGAGGCTGATGGCAAATGAGTCAATAAAAAACTCTTCTGATAAAGAACAGCAAGAGATCTTCCAGAAGCTGAGCAGCACGGCCAAAGAGGAGCAGAGGGCCAAGGCCACAGCCATCAGCACCAGTCAGGTCTTGACTCAAGAAGACTTCCAGAAAATCCAAATGGCCCAAATGAGGAAAGAGCTCACTGTTGCCCCAGAGAAGGCCCAAAAGAGGAAATATAATGAAATAGACAGTGATGAGGAGCCCAGAGGTGAATTACTGTCTCTTCAGAATGTTGAGCATCTTCATAGAAAAACTAAGTCTGACAAGGAGACACAACTAGCAACTTCAATGGCTGGAAAGACAGACTGAGAAGAATTTATGAGAAAGAAAAGCAAAATGAATCCATCTCCAAGTTCCACAAATAAAGAGAAGAAAAAACAGAAGAACTTTATGATGATATGACATAGCCCGAATGTTTGGTCCAAAACCAAGCAGTCCTTCCGAGAGAAGCAGCTGGCCCTACGAGATGCACTTTTGAAAAAAAGGAAAAACACAAAGTAATTTTCAAGGAAGTTTTCCAATGCATGGAGAATGTTAAATTTGTGCAGTTACTTTGAAAATTAGTAAATGTAGGGTATTATTTATTTACACTAAAAAGTCCCCAAAGCACTGTATTATGAAACCCAAAGTAAATTTGGTAGCAGTTTGGTGTTTTTCATTTGGAAAAATAAAAATAAATAAAAATAAAAAAATAAATTAATGGCCTTAGAAATTTTAATCAGAGATTGTGATTGATTTTAAATGAGATTGTGATTTGTTTTCAAGGAATCATCATACAGATTGCCTATAGAAGAGTCATTATGACTGGATACTTATGTTCAATTTTAAATAGATATACCAGTCAATCAGAGTGTAAAACCATTATTTTAGGTGAAAGAGATGATAAAACATCAAAAAAGGGTATAATACATGCCAAACTATTTTGTTTACTCATATTTATCCAGAAACATAAAATGTACAGGCAACTCAAAATTCAGTTTCATTGATACCCAGTTACATTGGAAACCTATAAACCAAATCTAAAATTATTTTGAGCAACATTTTAAACTTACAATGTAAATAATAATTGACATTACAGAAACCACTTCTCTCTTACCTACACTTTGAAAGAAATTGCAGCAGTTATTAAAAAGCATAGGGTTTTGTAAATCAGAAAAAAAGACAACAGTACAGGAATGACAAAAATATATGTAGCAATTCTTTTGATAATGATTCAGTTTGGCTTCTCATTCCCACACACACAAATGCTGTTTATATCAGCTTTCTCTCAACCTAAGATTCAACCAATTGTATAACTAGAAGGCACAGTAGGAACTGAAATTCCCATGAGGGTGTCTTAGAATTCCTGTAGGACCAAGTGGAGCTGTTCTGGTGGGCACTGTGGATGCGGACATCTATGTGACATCCAAATTTCTCAAAGAGTGTTACGGATTTTAAAATCCTAAGTATCAATTTGCTAAAGAACTCTAGTTTTACAGTTGAATTTATTCTTTAGATTGCAATTTTTCATCATAGCTATCACTTCCAACAAGTTTAGGCAAACTTTAAAGTAAACATAAAATTTCTTGCCCTGAGGGATTTGATTAGTATGGTTTTCTCAGAGCTAGTAAAAACATGATTTTTAAAAGGTCAGTGATCTAAAATTCCTTCAGGAGCAAATCCAAAATAAAGTTGCCCTTCTTGTGTAAACTGAGGACATACACCTGCCTCCTAGACTTTAAATTAAAATACAATGAGGTCTTGCTGGGCAAAGGAGAAGGACAAGCATACCACAGGACTTCAGTAAAAGGGAGCCTAGTTTTGCACTTCCCAAAATTCAATGACTCCAAATGTCATGGAGTTTTTATTAAAAGGCAGACTCTCAGCAGAAATGGGAGAGGCTCAGAAGTCTTCCTTGTTACTAAAGTGAAGCCGATGGGCACTTGCCATTCGAAGAGCTGCCATTCATCACTGGACCACTGGGAAGAACAGACAGTTGTCAACGTCAGGGTATCAAAATATTCAGTGTGACTTTTCCTATGCAGAGAGAAGCAGGAAGGGGCCTGATGGAGTCAGCGACCTCTGCATCAGTGCAATCATGTGGAGTTTCAGAGCTTAGATAAGAAGCTGTTCTTTACCCCAACGTTTAATAAATTTTTGAAAGATTTTAAATATGATGGCAATATGTTCTTGCTTTCCTTTTACACATTAACATAGAACATGCTTTTAATAAAAGCTCAGCAATAAACATTAAACAAGTTTTTCATTAAACTTAATTAAGAAAGTTAAACTTCATATCTGGAAAATGTACCTAGTGCCACATTCTCTTATTTAAAAAGTTATCTTTTAGTTTTGTTGGCTGGTCGGATGGCAGATGAGGAAGAGGATCCTACCTTTGAGGAGGAAAATGAAGAAATTGGAGGAGGTGCTGAAGGTGGACAGGGTAAAAGAAAGAGACTTTTTTCCAAAGAATTTGATACGAAAATGATGTTGGTGAAATTGTGAAATCTGCTCACATAAACAAGTGATTGTTTTTCCCAGTACGATGTATGATGTATGGGTTTGGGGATGACCAGAATCCGTATACTGAGTCAGTGGATATTCTTGAAGACCTTGTCATAGAGTTCATCACTGAGATGACTCACAAGGCAATGTCCATTGGAAGACAAGATCTAGTACAAGTCGAAGATATCGTCTTCTTGATTCGAAAGGACCCAAGGAAGTTTGCTAAGGTTAAAGACTTGCTTACTATGAATGAAGAACTGAAACAAGCTAGAAAAGCATTTGATGAAGCAAACTATGGGTCCTTTTGTGCTTTCTGAAATTTCATCATCTCTGGAAACCGTATACAACTTTATTTTCTACAGTAATTTCCTGATGTTTAGGCATGTTCATGAGAGGAAGAAACAAAGTTTTCAGCCTTTACTTCAGGTCTTTGTTTTTGGATCATTTGATTTGAGTCTTTATTTGCCTGGCTTTATATGACCATACTTGAATTACTTACTAGATTTTAGTGACTACATGTAAGTTAAATTACTTTGCAGACCATGCAGTCCCTTCTGGCTTTTGATGTCTAAACAGTAAACTTGTATTTATATATTATATATGTTCGTGCCATTACAAGCCATATTCTAGCTGTTTAATATGTAAAATCTCCATGGCCTTTCTGAGTACGACAGCTAAGGCATGCGCTGAATGTTTGCAAACAGTTTTAGACAATAATTGTCTGAGAGGTTATACATAGTGAATCACTTTGTGTTTCTTTTAAGGAGAGGATGTAGGAAACTAAGTTTTTGTAAGAATGTTTATCTGTCTTAAGAGATAATTTGTTTTACTGTCTTTTCTAAAGATAACTTTTTTTGTTTTGGGGAAACTTCAGTTTCATGTCAGCAATTCTGTATTAAAGCTTTTTAAAAATTTAAAAATAAAAAATAAAAATAAAAAGTTATCTTCTATTTAGGCAATGATGACTGCAAAGTGGAAAACCATGGGCCTATTTTGGGAAGACTCATCATTAATCAAATATCATATCTACAGTTTTGGAGGTGACAAGCAAACCAAAACAATGGAGAAAAATAACAGATCGAAAGGGAATATCTGTGGAAACTGCAGAAAGATGACATAATTAGTATGATGTGAAGACATAGCTTTTAACAGGACTCATAATTTGAATTATGTTAAAAGCTTTGACTTTACTATCACTGCCTCTTGAACTTGGTGCATTAACTTCAAATTCATCTGTTGCCTATCTTTGGAGTACAAAAAGTTGCCCCCTCCTGCATGGGCAATCTATTTATGCCATTTTAATGAGACATTGTCTCAATAGAGAATTTATGTCCTGATTTGAAATCAGGTATAGTAATAATGGATCTCTAAAATTATTCCTCTTTTTCAAAATATTTTGGCTACTTTTGGTCCTTTAAATTTACATGAGGATATCAAAATCATTTCATCAATTTCTACAAGGAAATTTCCTGTGCAATTGATTGTTATTTTACTGATTTATTATTGCTTTTGATACAGAGTCTCACTATGCAGCTCAGACTCATAGTGAGCCTCCTGTCTCAGCCTCCTCAGCACTGGGATTACAGGCATGTATCACCATACCTGGTTTTGGGCCCAGCAATGCATGCCCAAGATTCCAGGGCCAGCATGGCACGCAGTACCTGAATGGAACCCAGGTCCTTACACTTGCAGGCAGGCACTTAACAAAAAAGTGACATTACAAATCAAAAAATATTGATTCTTCTGAACTAAACAAGAATTACCAGGGAGACAGATCAGCAGCACAGTGCCTACCTGGCAAGCACAAGTTCCTGAGTTTGATTTCCAATACAAAAATAAAAGAATATCATTTAACTAAACAAAAAGTATTTTTCTCTTTATTTTGATCTCAATTTGTCTCAGAAGTTATTATGCATAGCTCTTTTTCAGTACTGGGTTTAAAGCCAGAGCCTTCATGCTGAATTACATCCTCATCCCTCTAAAACTTTTTTTATTGAAATTGGTTTCACTAAGTTACTCAGCCTGACACAGACTTGTAATTCTCCTGCCTTAGTCTCCCATGTTTCTGAGATGACCTACAATCAAGTTAGTTTATAAATTTAAGTTGCTAATACAGAAATAGAAGTTTTTCTCAATATTAATCATATATTCTGAACAGTTGCTAATTTCATTTATTAGTTACATTAGTTTATTATAGATCTTATTGGATTTTTCCACAGATAGTCATATAATATTTTTAAAGAATATATTTATTTCTTTTTCTCCAAACTCAATAATTTCCATTCATTCTTATTTTATTTTAAATTCTTAGAAATATGAATTACACGTTTCAGATCTAATGCACCATATTAATTACACAGAATTAAATGGTTTCCATGGTCAAACAAATCAACATAATCCATTCTCTCACAGTTGACCTTTTTTTGTTGTTTGTGGTAATAATTGCTCATGAGATCTGTACTCTTCACAAATGCCTGGTATGGTTACCAATATTTTAAAATCAGATTTTATGTCACCTAACTTATTTTACCTGTTTGGGTGTCCTCCTCCTCCTCCTTCTTCTTCTCCTTCTCCTTCTCCTTCTCCTCCTTCTTTCTTGTTTTTCTTTCTCTTTTCCTTTTGAGTGTTGTGAATAGCTCTATCAAAATTTATGCTAATCATTCACATACTATGGTCTATTTTATATTAGTTCCATTTTTTAATTATTAGAATAAACATTGTATGGAATGTCAAAAAAATGCCTGGTATGATATATATATATATTTTTTTTTTAATTTTTTTTAACATTTATTTAGTGTGTGTGTGTGTGTGTGTGTGTGTGTGTGTGTGTGGCCAGCTCAGCCCACCAGGGGGCGCGGCTGGCCGGCATGTAGTGCTGGAGGATTGAACCGTGGTCCCTGTGCTTTGCCAAGCTTGTTCCAAGTAGGTGCTTTAGACCACTGAGCCATCTCTCCAGCCCTGGTATGATATATTATTAGTTACTATAGTCATCGTGCTGTACATTGCATCTACAGAGGGTAGGGAGTTTAGAAATAGATTAACAGAGTTTAAGTTTTGCTTAAGATATATGATGAGAGAACATATGTTCTCAGAATCTCAGGAAGATAATAACCAAAATACTGTTGAAGAAATAATGAACAAGCACTCTCCAAATTTTTAAGCTATAAATCAAAGGACAAAGGGACCCATATAAAATAAGCATGATAGAATTATAGCAATGCAGAGCATATTCAAGTTTCTTAAAGGGAAAAATATGAGAAAGCAAAAACTTGGGGAAAATCTGGAATGAAGGAAAAAATAAAAATGACAGCAGATTATTGGAAAATTCCAGGCAGGAAAACAACAAAATTACATATTTAAAATGCTGGGGGGGAGAGCTACAGTTGTAAACACCATACTAAATGAAAATATCTTCCAAAAATGAAGGGGGAATAATTAAAAGCAGATGAAAGTTTAATTTCATAAAAAGTAAGGTGCTACATTGGCCAAGCAATGGCCGTGACTCATCCACATGGCTGACACTGATCATTTGATTTGAGTCTTTATTTGCCTGGCTTTATATGACCATACTTGAATTACTTACTAGATTTTAGTTTTTTTAATTTTTTTTTACTTACTAGATTTTAGTGACTACATGTAAGTTAAATTACTTTGCAGACCATGCAGTCCCTTCTGGCTTTTGATGTCTAAACAGTAAACTTGTA